ATATATATATATATAACTATACATGTATGTGTCTGTATACATATATGAATATGTATATGTATGTATTTATTTGCAGCCAAATATACTGAAGATTCTGTGATTTTTTGTAATCATTAAAAGTTATATATTAAAATTTATAAGAGAATATTCATCAAATTTACAAAAATATACAAGAGACACAGGATTATTTTTAACTGCTTAATATTGTTAAAATGCTTTTAAAATATCTTGCTAATTGTTTAATAAAAAAATAATATTTTGAAATAATATTTTGAAATTTACATCTACAGTTTTTTAGATTTTGCTTATTGCAGTAACAACTATATGTCTTGAACGTGAAGCTATTTGTTCAATTCGAGTCGCCAAATATTCAGGCGATTTTTGTTTTAAACCTTGAAAGAGAAATTATCTTGAAACGATACGATGAAAGAGAATCGTAACATCAATACTTGAAATGATTTACATAGTCATTCGAGATGAAGATAAGTTATTACAAACGTGTCATCGTCACGGACGTTGTTGCAAATAGATTTTCTCGGAAGTGTTTTGTAAATTCAAACTGTATTCACAAACCCATGTACTCTACCGAATCTGAATATTAATGAAGCTTTATTTAATATTGACATGTTTCTTTATTTAGCTATTTTTACTGTGAGTCTTATGGTCCGTCGTCAAACAGTGAATAAATTAGCACGGATTCAAATAAATTGTAATGTCGTGGATCGGCATAAATCCGGTTTTTTATAAAAAAGCGATTCATCCCTTAAAAAACTGTCTCTTAGTAGAAAAGAATTATGAATTATTACATCAATTATGATTATGATTTATATTGATTTAAACGTGCTTTTAAACGTATGTATTCAATCAAGGTTTTTTTTATTATATGTTAATTATCTTTAAAAATTAAATATGATATATTTGTAGTTCATCGAGATGTATTATTCGCAGATAACCGCAAGTTTGTCAGATCAATAGTATTGCACAAATTATGTATTACATATTATATATCAGCAGAACTCCGGCAGCAGCCGTGCATAATTTGTCATCTTAGTTAGTGCCGGCAGAAATGCAGCAGAAAACAAGCAATTTCTGCATTATGATATGCTACAAAAAATGCTGCAAAATTTAAGCAGAAGTTTTTGGCATAAAAACAATAGATTTTAAGCGTGTTAGCACAATATGTTAACAGAAATTAAATAATGACTGAGCATAATATGACATCATATGCTTTATCGGCAGAATATCGTCAGAAATCGAGCTCATCTGCAAGCACGGCGTGACGACAGAAATGCGGCAAAAATTCGGCATAAGCGGCTGTCTAAAAAAATAACATCAAAAACATCAGAAATGCATGGTCTGTTGTTTTGAAATAATGGCAGATACATATCAATTAAATATCATAAAATTTATATGATAATATCGGGTTTTATAATTCTTTTGTTTACCGCTGTATCTATCTTGTATTCATCAAATTTCTGTTACGGGCAAATATAAAGATTGCAAAGCGCGGCTAACAAAATTAAAAATGTATGATATTTATTTTTATTAGCTTAATTTCTGACACAATTCTAACAAAAGACTCAGAATATTAAATTGAAAGTTTGAGTTTAAATTGAAACCGAGTGGATCAATAAAAAATTGTCCATTTATTGACTGCTTGAAACAAAATAAGAGTTCAATTTTCATACAAATCTTGAAATTTACGAATTATTAATAAATTAATCATTTATTTAAATTTATATATTTAATTAATTATTTATAACTATGCCAATATTCAGTTTTATTGCATCTAGATTAGTAATTATGCTTTGCAGGTGTGTTTTATGTGTTTTCGTCGTGACATTGTGACAGTAGGCTATGCT